ACTCTTGTTTATCTCATAGTATTTGACTGCAAGTATCTGGAACAAAGAGACCATATCTTACTAAATTTTGAAGAGCCCCAAAATGTTGGCTAAATAAATGAGGTCCTAAAAAGAAGAGTTTTCTTGTGACTTCTATTTGGAATGGTTGACTCTGGATTCATTTAATTAAACTGCATCTCATATTCTACTTGCTATCTTCATTCTTAACGCTACCTATATTTTCTCCTAGTTTCAATGAAAAATGCAGCTAAGTGGGAGTGCCTGGGTGGCTCAGTTGGTTTAGTGTCTGATTCTCTCTCTCCCTTTTTTTGAATTTTATTTTTTATTTTATTTAAGATTAAAAAAAATTATTTGAGAGAGTGAGAGAGAGAGAGAGAACAAGTGGGGAGGCGCAGAGGAAGACAAAGAAGCACTCTCCTTGCTGAGCAGGTAGCCCAACATGGGGCTCAATCCTGGGACTCCAGAATCATGACCTGAATCAAAGGTGGACACTTAACCAACTGGGCCACCCAGGTGCCTCTATGTATCTGATTCTTGATTTTTGGCTCAGGTCATGATCTCAGGGTCCTGAGATCCAGCACCAAGTTGGGCTCCACACTCAGTGGGACGCCTGCTTGAGATGCTTTCTCCCTCTCCCTTTGCCCTTCCTCCTGCTCATGCAGGCACTCTCTCTAGTAAATAAATAAATCTTTAAAAAAATGCAGCCAAGTGATTTTAAGCAAGTCACTTACTGTACTGCATGGTTTCCTCGTTTTAAAAACAGAATAATAGTTTCATACTAGTACTTCCCGAACTTCACAAACATGATAGTACTTCCCAACTACAAATCCTATACAAATTTGTTATTACTATGGAAGTTAGTTCATTGTCTATTTTAATTCCTAATTATTATCTTGTGGACACACTCACCAATCTCTCTTTTTTTTCTACTATACTACGTGTTCTGTACACCCATTTTTCCTACATTTATCTTTTTCTAATCCTTTGGTTTACTGTTGCTGTGGCGTGAAATCACTGATCTCTGCAAAGGAACATTTGATAAGCACTGGAGGAAACCAAACTAGAGATACATTCACAAGTCACACACAGTTCAAGACTGAAGGCTTAGACTTTAAGATAAAGCAAGATAGACCAGGAGAGGTGAGGACCAAGTTTCAGAGAAATATGGAATAGAGGCTAGGAACAGATCTGAATCCTGGCTCTGTTACTTTCGCTATGTGGACTTAATAAACCTTTCTGGTCCTACATTTCCGCATCTGTAAAGTGCAGGTACCTACATCATAGTATTATAAATTTGAGATATGTGTGTGAAGCACTTAAGAACAGTGCCTGGCACATTGTAAACACACAGTAAATATGAACTATTATAATTATTATAAGGTGATCAGTGGTTGACAACAGGTGGGAAGGTAAAGCAAGAGTTTGAAAGTTCAGAGAAACACTGAATGTTAACTTCAGCAGTTCTGTATTTTCTCATTAACTTGTCCCTTAAGCCCGACTTCTAGACTGAAAGACTTTTTTCCCTTAAAATTTTCTTGAGTCAGATTTTTTAAAAACAGCAACAGTTCAATATTTGAAGGCAGTAATAGTGAAGCTGCTAATCATAACCTTAAGTTTGACTATTTTTCTACTTTATTGTATATAGAACAGCCATGTTTCCAATTTGTATAACCTAAACATTTTGTTACTCACTTTCCTGCTGGTATAACTGAAGTAGTGGTGGAGACTAAAGAGGAAGTCAGGATTTAAAACTTTGCTTCACATTTCAGGTACTAGAGGCAATAGTCTTTCATAATGCGATAATGGAGAGACAACATTCACCTGACAAAGTTGCCATGCACTGAGTTTGCTTTTAACATTCTTTATCCGTTACTGTGACATCCAGATACCAGAGTTCTTGAGAACAAGAGCCACTGCTGGCTATAAAACCTATGCTCAGGTTTGATACTACAAACTTACTGCATGCTGGCCATGACTACTCCTGCATGTTTTTAGTTTGGCCTACTGGGTTCTGAGTATTGGTTGCCAATACTTAAAAACTGCAACATTTCACACAAAATTCCAGCATTAGGGTTTCTCTTGGGGGAAGAAAAACATGTATCTCAGAACACTGGACCCACATTCTTGTGAGCAACAATCTGCTAGTGCTTAACAGCTGCTTGTTTCAGTTACAGCATGGACACTAATTTCTTATTATTCTTACTATTTATTTCTTATTATTCTTACATTTCTTATTATTCTCCATTGTTTTACACCAGGCCAGTTTCATTCATTTGCTTTATTTTTCTGCACCCTCCCGTCCCCCGTAGATATTTGAGTTTGCAAACCCTGTCTAGATAGACTTTTCCTGTCTCCGATCAAAGCTTACTTTGTTCCCAGTCCCTGACAAGTTTTTCAAAGCAATAGCTAAGTAATCTCATCAACTATGAGTATTTTTACATGTGCTTTCTGGAGATAGTATCTTCATAAAAAGGATGACTCTGCAGGTGGAAATTACAGTCAGGACGGCAACTGTCCATTCTACTTTTTCTACTATCCTGGCGTAGCCATACCTTACAGTGCTCAGGCAAGCCTAGGGAATTGCTTCTCAGTAGAACAATGAACACCGGCCTACGTGTGCAACCTACTTATCTAGTACTTTTATAGACTGTCCTATTTCCAAAGGACCAAAAGCTCTGGGCCATTCTGACTCCCTGTCTCCTCGGAGGCTTCAGGATATCCGGCCTGACGGCATTTCCCCGTACCTGTTTTCGGGGCTCGCTTTGCGCTGGGCAGTCGCGCGCGCCCAAGGAGCGTGCGCATCCAGCATGAGCTCATCTCTCAGGGGCGTTTCCAGAAGGCCCGGACTGGCTGCGCACACTAGGCGCAGTCGGCCTCACTTTATCAATGGCCACCGCTGCTGGGCAGGGTGCAAGCGCCCGGAGGCGCTGCCTCACTAGAAGCTTTGTTCCTACTTTAGCGTCTGAGAGTTCGCACCCAGCCGGGTAGGCGCCCTGGACCCGTCTGGCCCTTTCGGGGAAGACGCTGGTTCTTCGGACGCGCTACCCCGGGCGGAGAGAAGGCTCCGGCCCGCAATTTGAGCCACGCCGGGCCGAGAGACTCTTGGTGGGTGGGGAGAGCCCCTCTGAACTCTCTGTTCGCTTGAGCGCTCCGAGCCCAGCGCCGCTGACCGCAGCAGTTTCGGACCGGCTGCGCAGAGTGCCCGCGCTCCCTATCTGCGGTTTCCACAACGGCTGAGAGAAGCCGCAGACAAACCCATCACACACCGGCCGCCACGACCCCACTAGAGCTTCCCTCCGCTCTTGGGACAGCCGCCGGGGGTGAAAGGCCAATCACACCGCATCTAGGTCTTGCGATTGGACGACAGTGAGTGCTGATTGGCTGCCGCTACGGGTTTCAGCCTCCCTCCTTTTCCCTTTTGCCCCCACTCCAGTCCCAAGGCTTCAAGCCAATGAGAAGGCCCTTTATAGACGCCCTCCCTTTTCTTTCTTCTTCTCCCCACCTTGGCGAGGGAGAAGACGTTCTGACTGGCCGTACTGTCCTCGGAAGCCCCCCTCGCTTCACCAATCACCGAGGCAGGTACACTCCCAGCGGAGTCGTCGGCCAATTACAAGGCGGCCGCGGCTCCCAGCCGTGCTGTTTCACCGGTGACTCCGGGTTTCGCCCTCCTTAACTCTTCAAGCTTTTTCGTGAGGGCCGGCCACTGTGATTGGCCACTGCTGCCATTGTAGAATTTCTCCTCTAGCCAGCCACAGAACGAGAACCCACCTTCTTCTCGTTCGGCTATCTTCGGCATTTTCCGCTTTTTGGGCGTGGATTTCTAGCGACACTTCCTAATTGGTTTCTCAGGTCGATCGGCTTTTTCCGGGAGGAGTCGCAAACAGTCGACGTCTGTGATTGGCTCTGCTCTGGCTTCGGCTCTGTAGCCGAAGCAGGCGGGCGCGGACCTCGGACGGCGATTCCCAGACGCCTGTTACGCGGGTGGCCGGGCGCTGGGCGGTGTAAGGCTGGGTGGGGGAGGAAGGAGGCGGAGGACGAATAGGAGGGGGGAGGGTGAGTGGGAAGAGCTAGGCGGCTGCGCAGACGGCGCTCCTCACACACAGCAGCCCCCGACCCGGGCGAATGCAGGCTTGTGCTGCCGCCGCCGCCAACGCCGCCGCCGCCGCCGCCGCCGCCCGGGCCGAGTGACAAAGGAAGGAAGGAAGGAAGCGAGGAGGAGTCGGCCCCGCAGCCGCTGACAGGGCTCCGGGCTGGGGGCAAAGCGCGGAGACTTCCTGAGCGGGCACCGAGCAGAGGCGAGGGGCGGGAGGGCGGCCGCGCTGGTGCCGCGGACGGGGGAGGGGGCCCCAGGGGACGGAAGCGGTTGCCGGGTTCCCATGTCCCCGGCGTATGGGGAGCAGTCGAGGATCCGCTGCCTGGGGTCTGAAGGGAGCTGCCTCCGCCACAGCCGCCGCCATGGCCGCTGGATCCAGCCGCCGCCTGCAGCTGCTCCTGGCGCAATGAGAAGAGGAGCCGCCGCCACCGCCCGCCTCTGACTGACTCGCGACTCCGCCGCCTTCCAGTTCGCCGGGCCCCCGCCGTCTGCCCGCCGGATCCCGCCGCTGCCGGAGCCGCAGCGTTTCCCGTCGCATCTCCGAGCCACCCCCTCCCTCTCCCTCCCTCCTTCCCATCCCCCCTTCTTTTCAAGCGTGAGACTCGTGATCCTTCCGCCGCTTTCCTTCTTCATTGACTCGGAAAAAAAATCCCCGAGGAAAATATAATATTCAGAGTACTTATTTTCAATCAAGTATTTGCCCCCGTTTCACGTGATATATATTTTTTAAGACTCCCCCCTCCCTTTTTCCTTTCCAAGGAAAGGGAGGGGAAAGAACTGTATTTTTTTCCCCAGCCCCAAATCATCTATATGTTAAATATCCATACTGATCTGTCTTGAAGGAGAAATACATCGCTCGTTTGTTTGTTTTTTTTTTTTTTAAATAGCTGTACAGAAAGTGAAAAGCCAAGAAGACGAAGTCTTTTTTTTTTTTTTTTTTAAATCTTGTGGGACAACTTAATGCTGCATTTATCATTAACCTAACACCCCAGCATAAAACAAAAGGAAGAAAAGGAAGGAAGGAAAAGAGGGTGATTCGGGAAAAGAGTGATCATGTCAGGGCGGCCCAGAACCACCTCCTTTGCGGAGAGCTGCAAGCCAGTGCAGCAGCCTTCAGCTTTTGGCAGCATGAAAGTTAGCAGTGAGTATTGATTTTATTTTACACCCATTCTCCACCTCACCCTTAACATACAAAGCCTTTACTAACCAGGATCTTAAAATATTAGACCTCCTGCTAATAATAATCAAGAGGTAGTGGAAAAGGGCAAAAACCTGTCTTCAGTCAAGGATGAGGCAGCTCCCTCTCTATTCCCATACCACTTCCCCCGGTCTCATTAACCTTGAATTGAGAGAATATGCTTTTTACTTGGATGATTTGATTTGAAAGTTGCTTCTTATACTTTTTGTGCTGTTGGTAGTCAGCTTTATCAAGTGCTTGAGTATTTCCATGTTGAAATAGTGATGAAAGTATTTACTTGCTCATCCTTTCGAATAAAGAGGACGATTCAAATCGTTACGTACATTTGCAGAGTACTTGTCTTTTGGAATGAGGGTTATTATATTTAGCTCAGGTCTTAGGGGTTGTCATAGTTTTGTATACTTGCTAGAAAGACTAAATGTCAGTCTCCTAACATTTGTTTCTTGTTTGTGTGACTACAGAGTATTTGGTCTTAATTCAGAGATGAACTTGCTTAGTACCTAGCATTCGCGTTTGGAGGCGAGGCTTGAGTTCTCCCTTTAGAAAGGGTCTGTGGGAGCTGGTAGAGACCCAGTAGCATCGCTACAGGCATTGTTTTAATTGCACACATGTTTTAATGCTATCTCTTAACCTTCCCGTTTTGACATTACCAATTTACCACTATATAATTTATGTTTAATCAAAAGGTTACTTGGAAGTAGGTTCAAGTTTTGATTGAGGTTTGTATTGTCATGTTGCCAGATACTAAGTTGAATGTTAATTGTCACTGACTCATCATTAAGTTCAGTTTTGGGGTGCCATTGCATTCAGCGTTTGTTAAATGATCTAGAGTTCAAATGTCCCTTCTAAGGACTATTTAAAATACTCTTGCATTGGTTTCCTCCCACATTTAGATAAAACTATGGGTTTAGTTATGACATTATGGATTTAGACCTTAATGTCAGGCTTTGCAGAAGGCTGTAGTCCTGAGTATAATAGGGATATTTGAGTCTGTGTTCAGGGTTGTTGCTAGACTGTACTTTTGTCCCAGATTTGTGCTAAATAGTCTGTGTTTGGTATACTAAGTATCTACTGTTCCAGAGTATCTCTCTTTGTAGATAGGTATTTAGTGACAGTTTATTTAAACCATACTTCCAGAATTTGACAAAAATATCTACATTGTTTCCTTATTCCTGGAGAAAGGGGCATAGTGAGGGCAAAGAAAAACTGTTGCCTAGAAGGAGAGACCTGAAGAACTGAGATTTTAAAAAAAATATATATATATACATGCTGTGATGTGAAGTTGATTATATGCTTAAGCAACCTAAAATTATCATTTTTAATTGAGCTCAGAATTTCAGTTTATTTTGGCATTTGGACTTGCCTGAAACAGGGTAGTCTAAGGTAGTAGCTGAATAGCAGATCAGTTTTAAAAGTTATTTATTCATTATTTATTTTTGCGACTAGTACAGAATGCTGGGTATGTGAAGAAGGCAGCTGATGATGCATTTTTCAGAGGAGAGGCAAGCTTTCTAAGCACTTCATGGGGTCATTTGAAAGGAATATTTTAAAATTCTGGGGTAATTTTCAGCTATGATGAGGCAAATCTTATAATAGCTACTTAAGAGCCTCTTGTGGTACTGGAGTGTTTGTATGTTTTTCATCTTGGTAATATAGTTTAAAACCACTTGAAATCAATTTTAGGTAATTATTTTATTAGATCAATTTCAGAGAGCAAAATAGAATAGCTTATAATATTAAGTTTTTGGACTTTTAATTTTGTTTCCGAGGTTTTTTTTGAAAATGACTCCTTAATTCTTGGTAATGTGGTTTGTTGACTGAGGTTGGAGTAACTCTTGTAAAGTGCATAGGTTAAAGTGTTTAATTTTCTATTCTTATATAGATCATAACATTTAAAAAATTGGAGTTCAATGCAAATTTTGTGTTTTTGACAACTTTGACTTTAAAGACATTTTAGAAGAAAAAGGATATCATTAATCATTTGTTTCAGTGCTACTGTTCTAAGGGACCCCTCTTCAAAATAGAGATACATAAAGAAATTAAAGTCCTTGGCCTCAAAAGCTTATCATTTAGTCGAAGAGACAGGTTGTGGGACAAAATATGAACAGTATCATGATGACTGCAAGATTATAAATACAAAGAGAATGCTTTGTTCATTGGGATGAAGAATACAGGAGTGAGGCCTCTGGGTTGGAGAGGAAGGACTTCCTGTAGAAATGTGTTTTAAGACAGGTGTTAAAGGAGGCAGTCGTTTGAATTGATAGAGAATCATAAAGGATTCTAGGTGGAAGGAATGGACAGAGGCACAGAGATGGTGATTTTTGTGTGGCAGGTAGATAATTTTTGTACTTACCAAGCGAGGTGGTAAATCTGAGTTAAAGGGGCCTAAGTTGGAAAATAAGATGAGAGAGAGTTTGGAAAATGTGTTAACCATAGTTGACAGAGAGCAGAAGGGACTTGTAAGAGTTTGGTTGTGATTCAAGAGAGATTGGGATTTACTGTAGGTTGGTGAACAAGATGTTTATTTGAAGGTGATTTGGACAGCTGAGTTAATGGATTACAGTAAACGTTAGAGCCCTTTCAGAGAAATAGTAGGGTATGTTGTGAACATGAGGAAATATAAAATAAAATGTGAAAATGGTATGAAAGTAACACATTTGAGAGATAGTGTGAATGACGAACTGGCAGGACTTCAGATTGGATCGAAAGGGAATATTTGGGAGGGAGTCAGGAGTTAAAAATAACTTCTGATGTTGTTGGTCTGGAAGACTTGACTGCTGAGTTAGATTGTCGATTGTAATGGGAAAGTTGAGAAAGTGCTGAGATGAGAAGGTAGATGAGTTCACTTTTTAAAAATTTAATGTACAATAGGTTCCCTTAAAGTTCAGCAGAGAGAGCATGGGGTTACTGGCAGTGTTATTTTACTTTACAGTCTATTAATTGCACAGTTTCTAATTTTTCTTCACCTAAAAATGTTGGATTTATTTTGGGGAGCAGTAAACTAATGGTTTTTATTTAAATGCTTTCTATTAAATAATGTCTTAAAAAAGAAAATTATTTTTTATGTAGATTCAAAAACCTTACCCTTGACCCTAGTTATAATAGTTCTATGGTAATTTATCGAAAAACAGTGGAAATATTTTTTGGACTAAAAATATTGGATAATATTTTTTGTGACATAAAATCTTTAGATATTTTATTTTTTATTTTATTTTTTAAAGATTTTATTTATTTGACAGAGAGAGAGATGGAAAGAGAGCACAAGCAAGGGGAACTGCAAGCCGAGGGAGAGGGAGAAGCAGGCTTCTCACTGAGCAGCGTGCCCATTATAGAGCTCAGTCCCAGGACCCTAGGATCATGACCTGAATTGAAGGCAGATGCTTAACCAACTGAACCACCCAGGCCGACCCGAAACTAGATATTTTAAATAGCCTTTAATTTAATCTTTGGTACATTTAAAACCTGTTTTTCATAAATAATGATTATTCTTTGTTAAACTTTGCACTTAAAATGATGATAATAATAGTAATAATAGGAACCTTTATTTGGTTTGTGAAGGCTCCAGCAGAAATTAAAAGTTGATTTTATAACATATTTTTTGCCTTTTTGGTTGAGTTAAGCATTCATCCCAAGTTTGTTTGTTTACTTATTTATTTTAAAGATGTATTTATTTAGAGAGAGGGAGAGCATAAGCAGGAAGGGTAGAGGAACAGGAAGAAGAGAAACTGAAGCAGACTCCACACTGAGGGCAGAGCCCGAAGTGGGGCTTGATCTCACAACCCTGAGCCCAAACCAAGAATCGGCACTTAACAGACTGCACCATCCAGGTGCCCTGTATTCATCCCAAGTTTAAATCATGTATTTAAATTGTATATTTCAAATATTACTTTTTACTTACTATGGTGAAACCAGTGTTTCTTTTTGGTTTGCATTCAGATGCAAGTGTCTTTAAGTGTCTAAATATTAGGAGCTGTACTGTTCCTTCTGTAGAATTGTGTAATATTTTACTCAAAAAAGAGAAGGTAAAGGACTTCTTATGGTGATTTTGGTTAAAATATTAATAATAGGGGCACCTGGGTGGCTCAGTCGTTAAGCATCTGCCTTTGGCTCGGGTCCTGATTCTAGGACCCTGGGGTCCACCCCACATTGGGCTCCCTGCTCAGCAGGAAGCCTGCTTCTCTCTCTCTCCCACTCCCCCTACTTGTGTTTTTTCTCTCTCTCTGTCTCTCTCTGTCAAACAAATAAAATCTTAAAAAAATATATTAGTAATAAATCCTTTTGGTATACTGTTTTTGGTATACTGTTGGCAAAATTTTTAGCTAATTGGCTAGGTTTAATTTTTAAATACAAGATTTAAAAAGAGGAGAGTAAATCAGTGAGTATCATTTATTTCCTTATATAAAACTTTTTACATCAGTTTTATTTTAGTGAAGACAGGATAATTAATAGCAGTTGCGTATTTTTGTGCACTATTTAGTCATCTTGTATTAAAACCAAAAACTACGTGGCAACTTAGAGTTATTCTGTTCCTCAGGGAGTTCAATCTCCTTGTGACATCTAAAAATTAGGTTATTAGAATTTAGTCAGTTTCTAGATCATCCATGTTTATGTGGATGAGAGCTCGTGTGTGAGACTGAAAACCTTACTTTCATTAAGTTTTCATTCCTTTCCCAACCAGACCTTTCCAGAGTTATTAAAACACTAATACTTTTGTAAAAGAATTGCACACTCTCTTGTTGCATGCATCTGTAGAGTGCTAATTGTGAAATGATTATAAGGAATAGGAGCTAGGACAAAACTTTAAGTGAGCCGAGAGATTCACAAATCAATTTATGGCTGATTGGGAATGGCATTGAGTAAATGAGGTGACATTCATTTCACTGGTGTAGTTCATATGAAAATCAGTTCTTGCACTCTGTGCCATCTGCTCCTTGTTTTGGACT